GCTTTGGTATATTGTATTTTCATTTTCATTCATTTCAAGAAATTTAAAAATTTGTCTTAATTTTGTCATTAACCCAAAGATTGTTTAGGATCATGTTTAATTTTCATGTATTTGTATAGTTTCTAGAGTTCTTCTTGGAATTGATTTCTAGTTTTATTCTGAGGTATGAGAAGATACTTGGTATGATTTTGGTTTTTAAAAATGTAGTGAGACTTGTTTTGTGACCTAACATATGTTCTATCTTGAAGAATGTTCCATGCACTAATCAGAAAAGTGTATATTCTGCTGTTGGGTAGAATGTTCTGTAAATATCTGTTAGCTCCATTTGACTTAAAATTTAAGTCCAGTGTTTCTTTGTTGATTTTCTGTCTCAGTCGTCTATTTAGTAGTGTCTGTGGGGTGTTGAGGTCCCCCACTGTTACTGTATTGCTGTGTATTTTTTTAGGTCTAATAATACTTGCTTTATGAATTTGGGTGCCCTGATGTTGGGTGTGTATATATTTAGGATTGTTACATCTTACTTGTTTATTGATCCCTTTATCATTACATAATGACCTTCTTTGTCTTTTTTTTACTGCTGTTGATTTAAAGTCTTTTTTTATCTGATCTAAAAATAGCTACTCCTGCTCGTTTCTGGTTTCCATTTGCATGGAGTATCTTTTTCTACCTCTTTACCTTCAGTCTGTGTCTTTATCAGTAAGATGAGTTATGTTGCCATTTGATTTCTTTATCTTCTTTCTTTGTGTAATTATTTTTTAAGGCCTGCGAGTTTTATACTTTTGTGTCTTTTATGATGGCAAGTATCAACCTTTTGTTTTCATGGTTAGAACTCACTTGAGCATTCCCTGTAGAGCTGGTCTAGTGGTGACAAACTCCCTCAGTGTTTATTTGGGGAAGGCTTATTTTTCCTTCATTTATAGAGCTGATTCTAGTAGGATACAAAATTTTTTTGTTTTTTGAAGTAACTTGAAAATAGAATCCCAATCTCTTCTGGCTTGTAAGGTTTCTACAAGTTGAATCATCTGATGGAGCTTCCTTTATAGGTGACTAGACACTTTTCTCTTGCCGATTTTAGGATTTTATCCTTTATATAAACCTTAGTCTGATGACTGTATGCTGTGGTGAGTTCCATCTTGCAATGTATTTTCCTGGAGTTCATTAGATCTCTTTTATCTGGATGTCTAAAGCTCTTGCTAGATTAGGAAGTTTTCCTCAATTGTTTCCTTAACTAGTTTTCCAAACTTTTTACTTTTTCTTCTCCCTCAGGAATACCTATGATTCGTAGGTTTGGTTGCTTTATGTAGTTTCATACTTCTTAAAGCTTTGTTTTTTCTTCTTTATTCTTTTTTCTTTACTTTTGTCTGACTAAATTAATTCAAAAGACCTGTCTTCAAGTACTGAGATTCTTTCTTCTGCTTGTTTAGTCTATTGTAAATGCTTTCAACTGTATTTTGTAATTTCTTCAATGATTTTTTCATTTCCAGAAGTTTTTATTCGTTTGGCTTTTTAAAAAAGATATCTATCTCGGCCGGGCGTGGTGGCTCAAGCCTGTAATCCCAGCACTTTGGGAGGCCGAGGCGGGTGGATCACGAGGTCAGGAGATCGAGACCATCCTGGCTAACATGGTGAAACCCCGTCTCTACTAAAAATACAAAAAACCAGCCGGGCGTGGTGGCGGGCGCCTGTAGTCCCAGCTACTCGGAGGCTGAGGCAGGAGAATGGCGTGAACCTGGGAGGCGGAGCTTGCAGTGAGCCGAGATCGCGCCACTGCACTCCAGCCTGGGTGACACAGCGCGAGACTCTGTCTCAAAAAAAAATAAAAAATAAAAAAAATAAAAAAAATAAATAAAAAAAAGATATCTATCTCTTTCTCTTTGGTAAATTTCTCATTGATATCCTGAATTGATTTTTTGTATTGCTTTTCAAATTTCTTTTGTATCTCATTGAGCTTCCTTAAAATTAGTATTTCAAATTATTTATCTGGCTCATTTTTTCCCTTATAATCTGTATTTCTTTTATGTTGTTTTTTTCCTGTTTTACTACACTGACTAGAACTTTCAGTAATGTTGAATAAAGGTGGCGAGAGTGGATATACTTGCGTTGTTTCTGATTTTCTGAGGGAAGCATTTAGGTCTAATTTTAGAATGTTAAATCAGTAGTGATTATCTTGAGATAATCACTACTTTGTCGTGATTTATCCTTTTTATACATTGTTAGATCTGATTTGATAACATTCTGTTAAGAATTTTATAAATATGTTCATTAGGAATATTAGTCTGTAGTTGTCTTTTCTTGGAATGTGTTTGTCTTATTTTGGTGTTAGAATAATGCTGGCTTCCTAAAATGTGTTGAGAAGTATTTACAGCTTTTCATTTTTCTGGAAGAGTTTGTCTAGCATTGGTATTGTTTCTTCCTTAAATGTTTAGTGAAATTCATGGATGAAGCTCTGTAAGCCTCAAGTTTTGTTTGTGGAAACGTTTAAGTATGAATTCTATTTCTTTGGTAGATAAGGGCTATTCAGATTATCTGTATGTTCTCAAGTAAACTTATTTTGTGTGTTTAAAGAAATTTGTCCATTTCATCTGCATTGTTGCATTTATTGCCATAAAATTCATAAGTCCCTTATCTTTTTAATAATGTATACAGGATCTATAATTATGTCACCTTTCATTACTGATATTTGTAATTTGTATCTTCTTTCTGTTTTTATCATGCATGCTAGAGTTTATTAATTTTATTGTTCTTTTCAAAGAACTAGCTATTTATTTCTCTTATTTTCTGTTTATGCTTACTTTGCATTTAATTTGTTCTTGTGTTTTTAGTTTCTTTGACACATTTCTGCTTTATAAATTTTGCTTTAAGTAGAAATTTTGATATGTTGGTTTTTTATTTTCACTCAATTTCTAAAGTTTTGAATTATTTTTGATCCACAGTTTATTTAGAAGTATGTTGTTTATTCTCTGAATATTTGAAGATTTTGCAGAGATATTTCTATTCTTAATTTCTGATTTAAATCAGTTGTGGTTAGAATACCCTTTGTATGACTTGACTCCTTTTGCTTCTGTTAGAACTTGTTTTATGGCCTAGAATATGGTCTTTCTTGGAGTATGTTCCATGTACACCTGAAAATAACATTTTCTGCTCTTATTGGATAGAGTGTCCTGTAAAGGCCAAGTAGTCAACTTGGTTGGTAATATTGCTTCAAGCCTATATCTTCACTTATTACCTACTTGTTTTTGGTTGTGTTTGCTTTATTTTTAACATAATTGATTTTGTTTTGTTTTGTTTTCTGGCTGCTGCTGCTGCCGCTGCTGCAGCTAAGACCTTTTTTGTTTCTTCAGCTTTTGTGCATTCTGGAAAACCTGGATTCACAGAGCCTTCTTAGTCAAAAGCCACGGTCAGTGGGCTATTTAATAATTCAGAGGGGAAAGGTGTCTTCAGTCCCCAGTTCCCTACATGTCTTCCCAGAGTTGTCATAATAGGTCTTACGGAGATTTTTGAGCATCTTTTTCCTCTGGTTGATGTTCATCAGCAGATAGCATTTGTGGGCTTTGTCCTTTCAATGTATCGGCATGTGTTTTTCGTAACTGCAGATCTTGGCCAGGCACAGTGGCTCATGCCTGTAATCCCAGCACTTTGGGAGGCTGAGGTGGGAGGATCGCTTGAACCCAGGAGGCAGGGGTTGTAGTCAGCCGAAATCATGCCACTGCACTCCAGCCTGAGGGGCAGAGCAAAACTCCATTTCAAAAGGAAAAAAAAACCGTGGACCTTGATGTTCAAGTCAATAATTCTAGTCTCTGGGGAACTGGTGTCCTCAGGGCTTGCCATGTCCTTTTTTATGAACTATTCGGCTTAATTTTTGGCTTCTACTGGTTAGCCATCTCCAAAGACAAGTGTCTTCACAGCGTCATCAACCTTCTCAATTCTGGGAAAGTTCTGGTAGTCTTTGAGCAGCGTACAAGGGCACAGGTCATCATCTTGGCTGGGCTGGACTGGTTTCTGGATGGCATATCCACAGGCGGCCTGGAGGAAGAGACTTGGAGGCTACCAGCACCACTGTTTGGAAGGAAGTCTGGTGCTCCCTCCTCTTGGCTTCTCAAGAACTGGAGCTTGGGTCCCAATGGAACTTAGTGCCCTTCACACAGTCCTTGGCATGGTGACTTCTGACCCCCAAGGGGCCAGGGCAGCTGTCCATTTCACAGCATGGACTGGGTTACATGAGTGCCACCATGCATCTTCCTACTTGCTTTACTAGCTGTTGGAAAGCAGTATTGAAATCTCCAGCTATAAATATGGATTTGTCTATCAGTTATTTTGAGCACATTTCTAACTGTGCAGGTTGTATAATGAGAGCCTATAATTGAGGCATGTATTTTGCCTGATTTATGTAGTTGCTACTTATGATTCAGTTCCTGTAGCCAAAGAAGAGGTGACTTTTAATTTACCATTCTTATAGGCAAGGAAGTCAATTTTTCCTTTCCAAGTACTTACTGAGATACCATTTTGTTGCTCTGCAGCTGGCTGGTTTCTACCCCCTGTCCTATTCTTAGATCTGTAGTTCTGTGTTTCCACAGGCCATAAAATCCAAGAAAATCCATGATGGTAAAGATAAGCTGAAAATTTCCATCACGAACTAAAGCCCGATACCAAAGGAACTATGTGTAAAATTTGGAAACATCTGGACAAAGCATTCATTTTGGAGTTGTGTATACTGGAGAATACACACAGACAGCAAGACACATACTCAGAAAAGACCCAAGATATACCTTAAGCACTCACCCTGGGCTGATCTCAAATTTTCTATCTTAAATATGGCTTTTAAAAAAATTTAGTGTTCTCTTGGTTGCAGCTGCTTTTCGGAGCTCCTATACATTTATTTCAGCCAGTCTGGTTTTTTTAACATTTCCATGGGGAAAATTAGAGCTTAGATCTTCTTAATTTCTCTACTTTGCTAATGTCAGTCTCTGGTCCTTTATTCCTTATTCTCTCTATCCTTTCAGGAGACAGGAATCAAAACGAGATGGCGACTCTTCACAAAGCAGGATTAAGGTGCTTTTCACTGGGAGAGCTTTCATGCTGGCAAATCAAGAGACATGTTGTGAGTAAATTAGCCAGAAGTCAAGACTCCATGATAAATATTGAAGGAAAGAGCTCTGAGTTCCCCAAGCACCATGATTCCCCCTGTCAGGTGGGAGCAGGAGAATCTGTTCAAGCTTCTGTGGATGACAGCCTTCTAGTGAATCACGTAGGGGATCATTCCAGGATCATTGAAAATCAAGAATTTCCAACTGGGAAAGTTCCGAATTCTTGGAGTAAAATATATCTGAATGAGACACAGAATTATCAGAGAAGTCGTAAGCAGACTCAGATGAAAAACCAATTATGTATATTCGCTCCATATGTTGACATTTTCAGTTGCATTTCACACCACCGTGATGATAAGATACTGCACAAAAGAGATAAAGCTCACAGCAATAGTGACTGTGGTAAAGATACCCTAAAGGTATCACCTCTTACCCAGTGTAGTGTTCACACAGGACAGAAAACCTACCAGGGTAGTGAATGTGAAGAAGCCTTCAATGATAGCTCCAGTCTCGAATTTCATAAGCAGGTACACTTGAGAAAGAAGTCTCCAGCGTATAGTACGCACGAGAAGGACACTAGTCATAGCTCACGTATTCCTGTTCAACAAAGTGTTCGTACTGGAAAAAAACGCTACTGGTGTCATGAATGTGGTAAAGGTTTCAGTCAGAGCTCAAATCTGCAAACTCATCAGAGAGTCCACACAGGGGAGAAACCCTATACATGCCACGAGTGTGGTAAGAGCTTTAATCAGAGCTCACATCTTTATGCTCATTTGCCTATTCACACAGGAGAGAAGCCCTATAGATGTGACAGTTGCGGGAAGGGCTTCAGTCGTAGCACAGATCTTAACATTCATTGCAGAGTTCACACTGGAGAGAAACCTTATAAATGTGAGGTGTGTGGGAAGGGCTTCACTCAGAGATCACATCTTCAGGCCCATGAAAGAATTCACACCGGAGAGAAACCCTATAAATGTGGGGATTGTGGTAAACGCTTTAGTTGTAGCTCAAATCTTCATACCCATCAGAGAGTCCACACTGAAGAGAAACCATACAAATGTGATGAGTGTGGTAAGTGCTTTAGTTTGAGCTTTAATCTTCATAGTCATCAACGAGTCCACACAGGAGAAAAACCATATAAATGTGAAGAGTGTGGTAAGGGTTTTAGTTCAGCCTCAAGTTTCCAGAGCCATCAGAGGGTCCATACAGGAGAGAAACCATTTCGATGCAACGTGTGTGGTAAAGGTTTCAGTCAGAGTTCATATTTTCAAGCACATCAGAGAGTCCACACTGGAGAAAAACCATACAAATGTGAAGTGTGTGGGAAGCGCTTCAATTGGAGCTTGAATCTTCACAATCATCAGAGAGTCCACACGGGAGAGAAACCCTACAAATGTGAAGAGTGTGGTAAGGGTTTCAGTCAGGCCTCAAATCTCCAAGCCCATCAGAGCGTCCACACTGGGGAAAAACCATTCAAGTGTGATGCATGTCAGAAACGATTCAGTCAGGCCTCACACCTTCAAGCCCATCAGAGAGTCCACACCGGAGAGAAACCATATAAATGTGACACTTGTGGTAAGGCCTTCAGCCAGAGGTCAAATCTTCAAGTCCATCAGATAATTCACACTGGAGAGAAACCATTTAAATGTGAGGAATGTGGGAAAGAATTCAGTTGGAGTGCTGGTCTCAGTGCTCATCAGAGGGTCCACACGGGAGAGAAACCCTATACATGTCAGCAGTGTGGGAAGGGCTTCAGTCAGGCCTCACATTTTCACACACACCAGAGAGTCCACACTGGAGAGAGGCCTTATATATGTGATGTCTGTTGTAAGGGCTTCAGTCAGAGGTCACATCTCGTCTACCATCAGAGAGTCCACACTGGAGGGAATCTGTAGAAATGAGAGAGGTGTGGTTCAGCCTTCAGTTAGAGCTCACATCTTTGTCTCCGTTGGGAAGTCCATGCTGATGATTGTGAAAAGTTCTTGTAAAACTAGAAGCTTCAAAGAATCTTGACGGGGAAGAAGTCTCTCAAATGCTGTGTTTTAGACTTGGTCAGGACATGAATTCTTTACAAACGTCATATTTCACAGATGAGAGAAAACTTTGTTCTGTAAATATGATCAGTGTTTATATCAGAGTTACCAAGTGTCCCAGTTCTCAAGATGTAACACAGCAGAAAAGTCTTGTCAGAGTCTGCGCAGGAGAGAGGCCTTCCTTTAACAAAAATATGATTGACAGAAAAAATTGATGTCAACTAAAATGTAACCTCTATGTAAGGAGGTGTTTTTCACCACTGTATCTCTACCATGTAGAATTGTGCTTAGCTCATAATAGGGCCCAGCAATTACTGAAGAAAGTGAAGAAAATACCTATAATTAGGACAAATACTTGAAAATTCTAGTCTGTTTTGTACCGTAAATTTATATTAATTTATATTCAAGAGGAATCCTACAAGTAGCCTTAATAACGTTAGTTTCAGTAAGTACTGAAAAGTGTGTAATACTGCCATCCATACTAATACAGATTTGGAAAAAAGACACGACTGGCTCCCATCCTTCAGCCTTAGTTCTTTGTACAGTGTATCAGTTGTGTACAGTATGATTTTTAGCGTCATTAGTTTATAGACTGAACAATACTGTTTTTATCTAATGTGACCCTGCAATTTACATGATTAGAATTTTTGGACACTAAGCTTTACTGTAACTCTGAAAGTGTTAAAAGTAGTTACTGATGACAAAAAGTTTCTTAGTAAACTTGAATTGTTAATCATTGGTTTCATTATTTTCATTCAGGTTCAGGTCTACTTGCTTTTCTACGTATAGTCTTTCCTGCATCTAGACCACTTTAGAAGGAGCTTTGGCAGATTTCAAGCACATTAATTTGTCACATTTATCCGCTTAAAAGGAAGTGGCAGGGCAAGAAACCTGTTGGGTCTTTATTGGAATTTTATCTTATTGTTTATTTATTCTGTTGAATAGAGCCTTGCAATGTTGCCCAAGTTGTTCTCAAACTCCTGACCTCAAGCATTCCTCCCACCTTGGCTTCCCAAAGTGTTGAGATTATAGATGTGAACCTCTGTGCCCAACCTTGAAATTGTATTCAATGTAATGATTTAGATGGATTACTGTTTACACAGCATTCTATGCTTAACACCTCTTGGTATCAGTGGACAATAAATACTCTGTGACCTGGCAGTCCTAGCACTAGAAATTTCACTTAGGAGATTGTGACAAAAGCGAGAAAGATTGTACACAAGGATCTTTATCCTGAATTCAAAAAGGAAAATGTCAGTAAAATATTTGAGTAAGTCTTGATAAATCCTTATAATACACAGCCATTAAGATGATCAGAGGTCTATAATGACTAGAGAAAACATTATTCATGAGAAAACTAGGTTAGCTCCTTCCTGGGATGGATCCAATTAATATAAGTCTGTCCACCTAATGATGTGATTATATGCATAGAAATAATAGAAGGATATTAATATGCTAACAGTTGTTTATTGTGACATGGAAGGTTGGGATATTTTAACTGTTCAAAAAATTATGGTGACTTCAATTTTATCAAAGTAAAAGTGATTCACTTTGATAAAATTGATGATAATCCCTTACAGCTAAATCTTGTTTGCTTTATCTCATTATATGGCATGTAATCCTGTGTTATGGATGTGTAACCGGCTTAAGTCCAGCTGTTTGCTACTCAGAGGCTGAAAACATGAAAAGCAAAATGTAGTGAAAGGAAAGCAGTTTTACTAATCAAATGTTAGCAATTGGGAAATGGCCAGGCTCATGCCTTAAAAGACCATTCCAACGTTTTGGGCTGAGTGAGGGAGTTTAAGAGGGAAACTTGGTGTGGGAAGTAAGTGGGAGCGGTGCAGTCAGGTGCAGGTCTTGCATGTCGTCTTCTGATGGTTTTCTTGAGTAATCTGCCCATCTGGAGTCCAGTTTGCATCATCTTGATATTGGCCCAGGGGTGGTGGATGAACTGTTCATAACTGCCCCTAAGTGGGAGGATTGCGCGGCTGATTTGTTTAGTCTCTGTGTCTGTTTTGCTTTAAAATTAGTCCCTGGAATTCTAAGTAAGCACAATTATACAAGGGAGCACTGTGCATGAAGTACCTGGTGGGAAAGGGAAAGATGAAGAGTTTTAACATATAAGGCCACATTCTGAGATTGGGGAGGAAAGGGAGAAAAGTTTTTAAATGCATTTCAAAGCTGGAATACTCTGTTAGAATTCCCCACTGTCGAACTTCATCCTATTTTTATGGAAAGTGGGCAACACAGTTAATCTGGCTGCTTCCTGCTGAAAGGGGGCGTAGTTGGGAAGTACCAGAATGGAATCTGTTCACTTGGAGTTGGAAATATATCCGCATTCCCAGATCTGTAGCAGGAACTTGCTGGAGCCTTATAGTGGGAGGACCAAGGACCTAGGAACTTTTGAGAAAGTCTGTCCTCAGTGTATAACAGAGGTAAAATCCACAGCAGCTGATGAGGACAATGAGAAGAATACCAACCATACTGTATATGAAAGTCTTTTATGAGGAAGTCAGCTGGACCACACTGTTCAAGCGTCCTGGGAGAGGATCCTATATCTGTATCAGAAATATGGGTGTCCAATGCATGCATAGCTTGGGTCATATTGTGAGAATAATGTGGTATATATACACAATACTTAGTCTTTTTTTTTTTTTTTTTTCCTGAGACAGTCTTGCTGTGTCACCCAGGCTGCAGTGCCATGGCACAATCTTGGCCCACTGCAACCTCTGCCTCTCAAGATCAATTCTCATGCCTCAGCCTCACCAGTAGCTGGGATTACAGGTGTACACTACCATGCCCAGCTAAATTTTGTATTTTTAGTAGAGAGGGTTTCACTATGTTGGCCAGGCCAGTCTCAAACTCCTGACCTCAAGTGATCCCACCCTTTTCGGCCTCCCAAAGTGCTGGGATTACAGGCACTGTGGTCCGTTGCTCCCGGACAGAACATTCAGTCTTAATCAGTGCACAAGGGCTGCCGTGTGCTGAGTCAGGGTATCTAAGGCCGTATAGTTCTGCAGGGCCACTTGTCTAATCTTGTGAGAGTCTTTCAGTGAGAAAGGGAATGGCATGATGGATATTATTAAAAGTAGCAGCCGTATGTTTAACCAGGTCTTTTATTTGTAATTTTACATCTATGGCCACTGCCTGGTGGGGGAAAAAAAGCCTAGTGGGTACAACCACCTTGATGCCTATTTTTGATGGGGTTGTCTAGCCTTTACACTTTCCCAGTTGGCATGGAGAGAGTCTAAATGGGAAGGGATACATCCTGGTAGGGAAGGTGCGCCTACCAGTCCAGTTGTAAGTGTTGGGAAAAGGGCTTGGGGATGCCTACATAAACTGGCCATAAAAATATGGGACAATAATTTGTGGAAAGCCACAAGAGGCCTCTGAGGAAGAAAGCCTCCTAATTGCCATCATGTTCCCATACTCAGAGACCTGCTGTCTTACCTGTAAACACTGTGTTCAAGAAAAAAGACACTCCTTTAAAGCCTTGAAGTGTAGACAGATACGCAGGGTCCTATTTAAGCCCACTCCCACCAGCTACTCTCCGATAAATTAAAGATAACACTGTTTAAGCACAAAGGAGATTCACTTAAACCACCACTGCTATAGATCACGCGTATAACGCACTGCCTCCCTTTCACTGGTTTGCCCTGAACATCTTAGATCTAAGTGATTATACTCAATAAATAGTGTAGAGACCGAAACTCTGGGCCTTTGCAGCTTCTGATTTGCTCTGGCCCCCTGGCTCCCACCTTTATGAACTCTTAACCTGTGTCTTCTCATTCCTTTGTCGCCACTTTGCCACTGGAATTCGGGTACCCTACGGGTGGTGTTAAGGCTGGTCCCCAACAGTAAGGCCAACCATGAGTGCTGCAGACCCATAGCAAACCCCAGGGGGAAGGATAAGGCTCTGTTATGGAGGTGGATGCTATTTTGATTGTGCGTCCTGGTCACATGTTATTAGTCAGTCCAAGGGTTTGGCCACATTGTTGAAGAGGTAATCATCCCATATCGTGGGAGATAGTGCAGGGTGTACTGTTACTGTGTTTTTCAGTGCATAGAAGTCTTGACCCATTACCTGGATTTACGCTGCCATCAGCCATCCTATGCCATCGTGTATGGCATATCCTGTAGTGGGGGTGGCGTTAACCTGTTTATGAAACAGAAGGAAAATATGTTTATGTGTTTTCTTAGAGGTGGGGAACTCATGGTAAGTGCTGCTGTAATCATAGAAGGGAAACAGGTGAGTATTTTTACCCCAAGTATAAAAATACTCAAGTGCTCAGGTTAGCAGTTTGTGTGCACCATGGCAAGCCTGTGATTAAAGAAAGGGGTGGCACCCTGCAGATCCAACAGTCTTCTATTTTAGAGGTAACTCACCAGCTGTGCCCATTCAGCAAACAGGTTAGTTTTAGCAAAGATAAAGAATGTACTTATAACTGTACAATTCATTAACAATTTATGTTAACAGAAGGGTGTTACTTATTTGTATGATTTTTCTTTAATAAATAACTTTAGGTCCTCTTGGTTTACATGACCAAGCAGTCCGGTTGTCTGAGGCATCAGGTTCAGGAGGAGCTGCCTTCACCTCAGTGTGATGTATCCATGGTCTTATTCCATCCAATCTGACAGATGAATGGATGGTTGAGTTACTGTCTACTTTTTGGCTAGCTGTTGGTCTGGCCCTTGGTTTCTCTAGGATTTTAGTAGCACTTTATTTTCAGTTCATAAAAGTCTTGACCCATTACCTGGATTTACACTGTCCTCAACCGTTCTATGCCATAATGTATGGGAAAGTAGAAAGGGTGAATGAGTATTACTTAATTTAAAATTTTTAGGGTTTTAAATTACACAAAAAGTCTATAAGCATTTATCTCATTTATATGTACTCAGTATTTTCTCATTTTTAACAGCTTATCTAGATTACTACTGAAAACTGAGATATCACATAAAGTTGGTCATTATTTAAAGTTATTTCCCTGTTAACCATTTTTAAAGTCTGAATATCAGATATGCATCTAACTAAGAACCTTAAACACTGGGCATTTTGCCAGTAACTCAGAAGATTTAGCTGTTTTCGTTAAACTAACAATTGTAAATTTTATTTAAAAAAAAAAATTGCACAAAGATTACTCTGTTTTCAGTTGGGTTTATAGTCTCAGAACCTTTGTGCCAAACTATGACACCTTAAAACATTTAGCCAAGGCAACTATAAAACTATAAAACTTATTTACCCAGACAAAAATGTATGCTGACAATTCTGAAGACATTTTAATCTTACTAATGATTTTAAAACCAGTTTTATTTACTGAAGATCTGTGTGAACTTGAAAAGCATTTGTACTTACCTAATTTATAATTACTCATCTACTTTATAAGGTCATTTGGTAGCATGCTAGAGCAACACATAACAATACATGTTACATACATGTAATAATGCAATCACATAAACATATCTAAATATGTATACACATATATACAAACAAAGATCCAATAGCTTTTACCTTAGAGTTCTAGCCATAAGATAGCAATACAGACTCACCATTTTATAAAAGACAGCTGTATCCAAATTTTTTTTTTTTTTTTTTTATGAAATGGAATCTGTTTACATGGCTAAACTTTTTTTGCCCTGATAGGTAATCCAAGAAAAAGGGTGGATCAAAATTTTGGGTAAAACAGTTTTTATGGCAGTTTTAATTTTTAAAAACCTCTTTTACCTTTTTTAAATTAAGTTTTAAAGGAGTTTGCAATGTTTATATTTTAGCCAGAACTAGCTGAACTGTATAAGAATAAAAAATTATCTACATTACTTTGAAACAGTGAGTTTTATCTCAACATCAGTAGCTTACTAACAGTAGAGTCAGCACAGGCTGAAAACAAAAGAGAAACATAAATAGAGACTTTAGAAGATTCTGCTTAACTTTATAGTTGCAGGTTAACCATTTGAGCTCTGAATTTTTATTGCTGTAATTTTCCCATCAATTTAAAATGTGTACAAAAACGGCCATAGATGTGTAACCAGCTGGATTCCCAGATAGTCTAGAAAAGAATTCTCACAGATTCTCCTCCCCACAAAGCTTGACACAAGTGTCTAAAATATTCTAAAGTCTCAGAGTTACAAAATTGGTGGCCAAAATGATAAAACCTGCTTTTCCCCTAGCAAGGAGAAGAGTAGCCTATCTTGCTGCCCTCTGATAATCAGTTGGACCTGGGCTTGGCTGGTGGGATGGAAACTGCCAAAGCATCCTCAGAAGGATACGAATCACTAAACAGACAAAAACCACAGATGGATCCAGTGTAGACAGAGTGTTCCAGACTGGTAGGGTATTTTAGAGAAAAGTCCTGAGATCTTGTCTCAAACCCAGATGGGACCATGGAGTGACCAGCATTAGGTCCTGATAGCTGGAAAGCCCAGATAGCAAAGACAGAGGATTTTTGGATGCACTCTGGTTGCCCAGTTCTTGAAGCCCATCAGCTTCCCAGATGTGGCTTTCCTCACTCCAACACAGTATTATAGCAGCTGATGCCATGAAGAAGAGGGAAGGGCAAATCCCCAAGACAAACAGTATTGACGGTTGTTGGGAATTCCGTAAGGTCCCAACTGCAGGGTCAGCTAGCCATAAGCAGCTAGCATTTGCAAGTGACTGCTGTACTGCCTGGTAGCATGAATGGGTAAGTTCTGGCATCTGCTGTGCCCAATTGCTCCATTCATTGGAAACCAGGTGTACAGACTGAGCTGCTCAAAACACACAGTTTGTAACATGGGGCACGAAATTTGTAACCAGCTAAAATCCACTGCTTGCCACTCAAAGGCTGAAATTTTATTAATTAAATGCAAGTAGTTGGGGAATGGCCAAGCTCATGCCTTAAAAGTCCAGTCTTACTTTTTGGGTTGACTGAGGGGGTTTAAGAAGGAAAACTTGGTGTGGGACATATGTGTGGGAGTGATACAGGAAAATGCAGATCTGTATGTCTTGTTCCAATGGATATCTTGAGTAATTGCCCATCCAGAGAAATAGTTTGTGTCATCCTGATTTTGGCCCAATTAGTGGTGAACTAATTGTAACTCTCCCTAAGTGAGAGGATTGTGCAGCTGGGTCTCTATGTCTGGGCTGTTTTATAATTAGCCCCGGAATTTCTAAGCAAACACATAATTAGATATGCAAGCACTGTGCATGGAAGTACCTGGTGGGAAAAGGAAATACAAAGAGTTTTAAAGTACAAGGCTACGTTCTAAGATTGGGAAGTGTATTAGCAAGTTTTCATGCTACTAATAAAGACATACCCCAGACTGGGTAATTTATACAGGAAAAAGGGTTTAATGGGCTCACAGTTTGACATGGCTGGGAGGCCTCACAATCATGGTGGAAGGCAAGGAGGAGCAAGTCACGTCTTACATGGATGACAGGCAAAGAGAGAGCTTGTGCAGGGATACTCCCCCTTTTTTTTCTTTTTCTTTTTCTTTTTGAGACGGAGTCTCTGGATTGCAGCAGGCAAAGAGAGAGCTTGTGCAGAAACCCCCACCTTTTTTTTTTTTTTTTTTTTTTTGAGATGGAGTCTTGCTCTGTCACCCAGGCTGGAATGTAGTGTGCGATCTCGGCTCACTGCAACCTCCCCCTCCCAAGTTCAAGCAATTCTCCTGCCTCAGCCTCCCGAATAGCCAGGACTACAGGCACACGCCACCACTCCCGGCTAATTTTTGTATTTTTAGTAGTGATGGGGTTTCACCATGTTGGTCAGGCTTGTCTCGAACTCCTGACCTCGTGATCTGCCTGCCACGGCCTCCCAAAGTGCTGGGATTACAGGCCTGAGCCACAGCGCCCAGCCAAACTCCCCTTTTTAAAACCATCAGATCTTGTGAGACTTATTCACTATCATGAGAACAGCATAGGAAAGACCTGACCCCTTGGTTCAATCACCTCCCACCAGGTCCCTCCCACAACACATGGGAATTCAGGATGAGATCTGGGTGGGGACACAGCCACACCATATCAGGAAGGAAAGGGAAAAAAGTTTTAAGATGCATTTGAAGACTGAGACACTCGGTTACAGATGTATGTAAATGGATGTTCATAGTTGCGTTGTTGATAGTAGCAAAATTTGCATTTATCAGTTGGACTGACAAAATATTTGATGGCTTATCCATTCAGTGGAATACAGAGTGAAATGAGAGGAGGTAAATTTATAATTATTGGCATTGGTAGTTACTCAGAATAAGTTTAGGAAAGTGGGCAGAGACAGGATTTTGTATGAATGTGTATATATGTGTATGTGATGTGTGTATGTATGTATGCATATGATCTTGTTACTTTAAGGGGGCTAGTGTAGTAATTTTTAACATTTTTGTAATGTTTTGTAAATGTTCTAAAACTTTTATTTTGAATTAATTCTAAACATTAAGAAAAGATGCAAGAATAATACAAAAGAATCCCACATATTCTTGGGGTCTCTAATGTGATTGCAGTTAAACCTGTTCATTTCCACGTCTACTGCCTGAACTGAGAGAACGACACAGCTTTGGTTCCTCAGGCATGTGACCTCTTCAGCATGGTGACTTCACAGAAACTGGACATTACATGGTGGCTCAAAGCTAGTATCCAGATAAAAGCCAGCGCAAGTACTATGGCCTTTCCTAATCTAGCGTTGGAAGTTCCAACATTACTTCTGCCTTAGTTCGTTGAGACAGTGAAAAGCCTATCCACAATCAAGGGGGTAGGAAAATAATCTGTAAACATATTTTAAGACCATTGTAGGTTGATACAGTAATGTTTCCTAATCTACAGTTTATTCATTTTCCACAGTCATCCTATAATGTTTATAGCATTTTCTATTTCAGGGTCCAATCTAAAATGTGTCATGCCCTGCATTTCATTGTCATGTTTCTTTAGTCTTTAACCTAGATCAGTTCCATAGCCATTTTTTCTTTCATGAAATGAGCCTTTTTGAAGACAACAAGCTATTTTGTAGAACAACCCTAAATTTGAGTCCTCATGATTAGATTCAAGTTAAATGTTTGTAGATTGAGTATTGCATGAATAATGCATACTTCTCAGTGCATCACAATAGGAAACACATGATGTGTTTTGTTGGTGTTAGCATTGATAACTTGTATAAACTGGTGTCTCCCAGGTTTTTCCACTAAAAAATGGTTATTTTGGCTTTGAAATTGATAAGCAATTTGCAGGAAGATCTTTGAGCAATTTGTGTGGAAGATCTCATCTTTCACCCACTGGTTTTAGTGTTCATTGATGATTCTTGTCTGAATCAATTATTATTGTGATGACTGCAAAATGATGACTTTCTGACTCTGTCATTCCTTCTATTTTTAGGAATTGGCATCCTACTGTTTGTTAGAAGAGCTTTTCCTTCCCCTACCCCCATATCTCTCTACCTGTCTGTCGTCCATATGAACCTTTGTTTTCTGGTACAATAATATATTAGGTTTATCTTGTATATTCCCTGTCCCAGCCACAGAGCTCTGATTGCTTTTAGTGGGGAATGATACTTAGAAACCAAGATCTGGGTGCTGTGCATACTAATCATTATTGGGATAATAGTCGTGTGTGTGTGTGTGTGTGTCTGTGCAAAATAATGATCCCTCTCATTTTAAATAAGTATTGCAGGATTCTTGCTAAGGTATTTTCCCATTCCATATTTACTTCTTTCTCTAAGAGTCAGAAATTGGCCCCCAGCATCATCAGTATGTTTACTCATCTGTTCAGTTCTCCAGTACATGGCAAGTAGTTTTGGAGTTGCTAAATGACATGAATGCACATAACAAACTTTGTTAGTGTTCATGATTTATTTGCAGATCTTTTTCTCTTTAGACCAAGTATATATAGATAAAATTCTTTATTCAGGCCAGGCGCAGTGGCTCATGCCTGTAATCCCAGCACTTTGAGAGGCCAAGGCAGGAGAATCGCTTGAGCTCAGGAGTTTCAGACTAATCTAGGCAACATAGTGAGACCGTCTTTACAAAAAATTGGCTGGGCATGTTGGTGCATGCCTGTAGTCCCTGGTACTCAGGAAGCTGAGGCGGATTGGTTGAGTCCGGCAGGTTGGGACTACAGTGAACTAAGATTGCACCACTGCATTCCAGCCTGGTCAACTGAGACCTGTCTCAAAAAAATAAATAAAAATAAAAAAAATAAAAAACAAAAGCCAGACAATCTCCTGCTGCAAATGACAGGATTTTATTATTTTAATGGCTGGACAATATTCTATTGTGTGTGTATATACCACATTTTCTTTCTCCTGTCATTTGTAGCAACATGGATGGAACCAGAGGATATTATGTTAAATGAAATCATCCAGGCATAGAAAGACACATTTTACATATTCTCATTCCTATATGGGAACTAAAAACATTGATCCCAAGGAGGAAGTGATTTAGAATGGTGGTTATCAGAGGTTGGGATGGACAGGGGTGAGGGAAAGATGGAGAGGTTAGTTAATGGGTACAAAAATATGATTAGATAGAACAGTGTCAGTAACACTAGAACTTATTTATTCTATCTAATCAATAACACAGGGCAACTACAGTTAACAATAATTTATTGTATATTTCAAAATAAATAGAAGATTTAGAATGTTCCCAACACAAAGAAATGATAAATGTTTGAGGTAATGGATATCCCAATTACCATGATTTGATCATTATACATTGTATGTGCACAAATCAAAATATCACATGCATCCCATAAATATATACAACTATTAATATATTAATAAAAACTATTTCAAGTGTTTATTTTTAGAAAAAAATATTAATTTTACTCTGGAAAAATGTATATACTTTAAAAGATTCTCCAGAAGGTTGATGCCTGGTTCAAATGGCAAACCATAACCCACAGTACCTCTATGAATGTTTATTTAGATATGATGTATTTAGGAAAATGAAAAGTCTCTACATGACTAAGAGCAAAAAGAGGTTCAGAAAATAGCTGCTTTAGAAGTGCACAGAAAAGGGAGTGTGATATGAGAATGTTAACTGAGCATTTTTTCTTTAAGTAAATTTCCTCAGTAGGTTGGAATGAACAAATATGGGAATCAACTCAACCAGAAGGGCAGAGGTGAGGGAATTACAGAATTGACCCAGAGCCCTATTTCAACCAGACCTAGTCCTGTCCTACCTGTATTCTTTTTGTTGTTTGTTTTGTTTTGTTTGAGATGGAGTCTCACACTGGTCACCTGGGCTGGAGTACAATGGTGCCATCTCGGCTTATGGCAACCTCCGCCTCCTGGGTTCAAGCGATTCTCCTGCCTCAGACTCTTGAGGAGCTGGGATTACAGGCACCCGCCATCACACTCGACTAATTTTTGTATTTTTAGTAGAGATGGGGTTTCACCATGTTGACCAGGCTGGTCTCGAACTCCTGACCTCGTGATCCACCCGCCTCAGCCTCCCAAAGTGCTGGGATTACAGGCATAAGCTACTGTGCCCAGCCTCTTCTTTTTAATTATGCATGCCAATAAATTTTGTTCCAGCTAGTTGGAGTGTGATTTTCTATTTCTCACAATTGAAAACATCTTGATTTAAACAACCATGAGCTCCAGCCCACCCTAGTAATCTGGTGGTGACAAAGCAGAGCATTATTGGCCCTGTATTTCTTTTTTTGTTTTTATCTTTTTTATTTATTTTTTCTTTTTCATTTATTGGCCCTGTATTTCTGATGGTAGCATGAAACAAGATATCATGGAACTTAAGTACTCATTGTCCTGGAAGGTAAGGTTCAGGACAAAAAAAACCAGTGGGAAACTTTCTCCCACCTCCACTAAATAATACACCTGAGTAAACCCTTCATCCAATTACTATGATTTGATCATTACACACTGCATAACGTGTAATGGTGTCTGAGAAGTGTGGGGTGTTGTCCAAAATGCTGTGTCCTTAACAGGTTAGTCTAACATCTAAAATGCATGCCATATGATGTTCCCCTTTTTTGCAAAACCTTTCTCATGAAGCTTTATGGAACTAAAAACCAGTTGGGAATTTTTTCTTCATTCAGTCTGTTTCTATCACAAAAGCTCCCAGAAAGAAAGATAGTAAAAGCCCCCACCAAAAAAACATAGCACAGCTGTACACTGTATGGAAAAAGTCTTAAATGATCAGATAGAAATTTTGGCCTGTTACTGCTTGAAAAATGAAGCTGAACTGAGGACAGAAGCCAACTGCTAAAATATTACTCAAATTGTAGACTGCATGGTTTTCTGTGTTTTAATTAAACGTCATTTCCTTGAATTTATTTTAAGGCTTCTTGCAAGAATCCTTTTCCCAGTACAATTATAATGACGAATTGTGGCTGAGCTCACTAAAATGTTCAAATATATGTCCTATATATGATAGATTTTTCCTATCAAATTGAACAATTCCAGGGAAGCCACTACTTGTTAGGTACTGGTTCAAGGTCATGATCATACAGCAGCAAACAATGTTCCTGCATGGAGCTTAGATTCTAGTGGACACAGATTTTGTCATGTCCCTCATTATACTTTTGATAAAGTTCTGACCTTATCATTTTGAAGTCTTCACTCCTGCATATTGCTTATTGAATGTGAAGGTTCTGATTCAAATGTATCGTATCATTCTTTATAGGGTTTCTTTGTTTTGTGTTCTCTTGACAACTGTGACATTTTGAGCTCTGCTTGAAATTGGTCATATTCATACAAAAAATAGGTTTTCTTCAATGGAATTCAGATGACTATAAAAACTCAGCTCACTCGTGAATTCTTAAAACATGACATTTTATAAATATTCTCTGCTGTGCGGATTTTCTAGGAAAATGAGAAGTCTAAGTCTTGAAGAGCACCTCTATCACACTCATCATGATTAATGGATTTATCACCATCATGGACTCTCTGATGAATCTGAAGACATGAACTCTTACTAAAGCCCTTACCACACACAAAACATTTGTATGGTTTCTCTCCAGTATGGACTCTGATGGGCTTGAAGATGTGAGGTCTGACTGAAGCTCTTACCACACATGCCACATATATAGGGTTTCTCTCCCGTGTGGATCCTCTGATGAACGTGGAGATATGAGTTCCAGATGAAGCCTTTCCCACATTCTTCACATTTGTATGGTTTCTCTCCTGTGTGGACTTTCTGATGGGCTTGAAGATGTGAACTCCAACTGAAGCCTTTCCCACACACACCACATTTGTAGGGTTTCTCTCTAGTATGGACTCGCTGATGGTCCTGGAGATGCGAACTCTGACTAAAGCCCTTCCCACATGTCTCACATTTGTATGGCTTCTCTCCTGTGTGAACTCTCTCATGGGCCTGAAGGTGAGAGATCTGACTGAAGTCCTTCCCACGTGTGTCACATTTGTAGGGTTTCTCTCCTGTATGGACTCTCTGATGGGCCTGAAGGTGGGAATTACGGCTGAAGTTCTTATCACACACATCACATTTGTAGGGTTTCTCTCCAGTGTGGATTCTCTGATGGGCTTGAAGATTTGAGGCCTTACTGAAGCCCTTATCACATACCTCACATGTATATGGTTTCTCTCCAGTGTGAACTCTCTGATGAAGACCAGAATTCCTATTAAATATCCTGTCACTTACTTCCCATTTGTATGTCTTCTCTCTAGAGTGACCTCTCTGATGGGCTTGAAGTTGTGATGTCTGACTGAAGCCTTTATCATATACATCACATTTACAGGCTCGCTCTCCAGCACTATCTACACAGTGAATGTCAAAATCTAAGCTATGATGGAAGCCCTTCCCACACGTGCCACATGTACACAACTTCTCTCTGGGGTGAGTAAGCTCATGAGAGGGAAGACAGGAGTTCTGGTTGAAGCTCTGGGCACATACCTGACATCTGTAGAGGTTCTCTCCTGTGCTGACTCTCTGATGAGGTTGCACATGTGAGCCCTGACTGAAGCCCTCACCACTGTCACCATTCTGATAGCATTTCTCTCCTATGTGGACACATTGATGCCTGGGAAGCCCTGAGCTGTAACCTATGCCCTTCCCATACTCGACACTTACATGAGGCTTGTCTTCTAAGTGTAGTTGCTGGTGAAGTTCAAGATTAGAGCTAACACTGAAGCCTTTTCCATTCTCAGAGGTTTGCTTTCCTGATTGGATTACGCTATGTTGGGATGATTCCTTCACACAGTCTTTTCCACAATTATTGTGGCTAAAAGCTTTCTCTCTTTTGTGTACTCCATGACCATCATGTTGATGAGCAATCCTTTGCGTAACACAATGGTCACATTTACAGAGATTATTTTTTACATCAATTTGCTGACACCTACTCTGATAATTCTGTGGTTCTCTCAGATACATTTTCCTCCAGAAATCCCAGGTGGTCCTCATTGGAAGCTCTTGATTTTTGATGCTATTTGAACTCTCCCCTTGCCCCTTTATTGTATAGTTCTCATCTTCAGAGACCTGAATAGATTCTCCTGTCCACACCTGACAGGGGGAATCACCTTGTTTTAGCAAGTTGGACCTCTGGCCTTGAAGATTTATTATGAAGTCTTGATTACTGGTTAATTTACTTGTAAATTGTTCCCATATTTGCCAGCATATAAGTTCTTCATATGAAAGGAATCTTAATCTTACTTCTTGAAGGATATCTATCTCATTTTGATTCCTGTGTCCTGGAATGATAAAGAGAACTCAGAAATGAAAATGAAGACAAGTGAATATTTGTTCAGAAATAAAAAACATTTCACAGGTTGACCACACTGGGAAACCTTAATAAACCAGTGGAGAATTCAGCTTGACTTTATCATTGGTTTTTTTTTTTTTCTTTTTTTTTTTTTGAGACGGAGTCATGCTCTGTCGCCCAGGCTGGAGTGCAATGGTGTGATCTCGGCTCACTGCAAGCTCTGCCTCCTGGGTTCACGCCATTCTCCTGTGTCGGCCTCCCGAGTAGCTGGGACTACAGGCAACCACCACCACGCCCAGCTCTTTTTTTTGTATTTTTAGTAGAGATGGGGTTTCACTGTGTTAGCCAGGATGGTCTCGATCTCCTGACCTCATGATCTGCCCGCCTCGGCCTCCCAAAGTGCTGGGATTACAAGCCACCGTGCCCGGCCTATCATTGGTTTTTTTCATGCCTATGGGAACAAAAAAGGCTGGTTTCTATATACAAAATGTTAATGAGACTCATTTAGAGCTATACCAAGATTGTTTTGTTTTTGTTTGTTTTTTTCTTTTTTTTGAGACGGAATCTCACTCTGTCACCCAGGCTGGAGTGTGGTGGCATGATCTCGGCTTACTGAAACCTCCACCACAGGGGTTCAAGTGATTCTCCCGCCTCAGCCTCTGGAGGAGCTGGGACTACAAGTGCATGCCACCACACCCCATTAATTTTTTTGTATTTTTAGTAGAGACAGGGTTTCACCATGTTGGCCAGGCTAGTCTTGAACTCCTGACCTCAAGTCGTCTGCCTGCCTTGGCCTCCCAAAGTGCTGGGATTACAGGTGTGAGCCACCATGCCTGGCCAGTACCAAGACTTATGTATGTGGTCAAATACACATACAGAGCAACAAAAAGATGTCCTAGAAAGATGTTATAGAAGAGTAACTTTACCTCCTTGTCCATAAGAATAATCACTTAAAAATCCTCTCCTCTTTTCCATGGCAGATGTATAAAATCTACAAAATCCTGGCTATATGTAAGCCTCAGAATCATGGTTACATTGTACAACCTGCATCTGTATATGATAAAAAGTCCAAAATGGTTAGAAAAGCCTGAATCTCTCCTTCAGCATTTACAAGTGTATTATTAAGTGATGCCAAGAATTCTCAGAGAAAGAGGGGACATCTTTGGCAAAAGTGAAGAGAATATAGAAAAATATCTTCTCTGTCTTGAGAATGAACCCATAAGATAGTACCATTATTTCCTTAATTTAGTCCTTAAAATATACATTTGATGAGCTAGATTTGGGAGAATTCTCCTTCTTTTCAATGAGGTTCTAAGTATATAATATTCAATTAGTGAACATGATAAGTGAAAAAAAATGAGAAAACATATTCCCATAGCTGACACACCCTATAGGAGAGTAAAGGCATTGAAAATTGTTGCCACTTGGTTTGACTGAATTTTTTGATAAACCTAAATGGCTAATATAAGATGGTCCCCAGTGATCACTCCCCGTTGGAATCCACTCCCTTTTGAAGTCCCCTCCCACACTGTATCAAGCTTGGTCTGTGAAACCAATAGAATATGGCAGAAGTGATGATCTGTCACTTCTGATGCTAGGTCATAAAAACACTGTGCTTCTATCTTCCACTCTCCTGAATCACTGGGTCTGGGGGAAACCAGCTGCCATGTTTTGAGGACACTTCAGCAGCCGTAGGGAACGGCTCACTTAGCAAGGATGTGAGGCCTCCTGCCACAGCCATGTGAACGAGCCCACCTTGGAAGCAGGTCCTTCAGTCCCAGTCAAGCCTTCCGGGGACTGCAGCTGCGCCACTCTTTGACAACAGCTTTTTGAGATCCTGAGCGAGAACCCCTCAGCTAAGCTGCTCCCGTATGCCTAACCCACAGAAACTGTAAACCAGTGTTCGTTGTTTTAAGGTGCTAAGGTTTTTGTTTTGTTTTGAGACGAAGTTTCGCTCGTGTTCCCAAGGCTGGAGTGCAATGGTATGGTATCAGCTCAATGCAACCTCTGCCTTTGGGGTTCAAGTGATTCTCCTGCCTCAGCCTCCCCAGTAGTTGGGATTACAGGCAGCCGCCACCACACCTGGCTAATGTGTGTGTGTGTGTGTGTGTGTGTGTGTGTGTGTATTTTTAGTAGAGATGGGGTTTCACCATGTTGGCCAGGCTGGTCTCGAACTCCTGACCTCAGGTGATCTGCCTGCCTCAGCCTCCCAAAGTGCTGGGATTACAGGTGTGAGCCACCGCATCTGGCCAAGGTGCTAAGTTTTACAGTAATTTGTTATACAATAATTGATGACTAACATAGGTGTCATAAAAATTATAACTAGGCTGAACATACGTCAGAAGAGTAACTATGTGCTGAAATAGTCCTTTAATGACACCTCTTTATTCCCTGCCTGTGAACTTTCTCCAGGAGAAGTAAAGACAGTGAGATCCACTCAGCACCCTTCTCTGTGAGGTTTTGTTTTATTGATCCTTGAGGGAGAAGATGCCCTTTAATTTGTACTTCTGTCCAGTGAAAATAGACCTCAGGAATATTTTGTGTAGGTGGAGCTGGGTACCTAGATGGACAGGCAGAGTGTGAAACCCTGAAAAATTCTGATGTTCACTCTGAAGAGAGGTGAGGGTAGAATACACTGTCAGATTTGTTCAGTTTTCCGAGGGCTGTAAGTTACGTAGTTATATCCTTTTGTCAAAACTCATCCAATTGCACGCTTAAGGTGTGCACATGTAAATTTTAACTCAGTAAAAAAGAACTGTAAAACAAGCCATTTTACTTTCTGAAAATTTAGGGAGCTATACACTTACAATTTGTACAGTTTTCTGTATATATTTCAATAAAAATTTGGCCAAAAATTAAAAAAAATAAAGATTTGTGGCTGGGCATGGTGGCTCATGCCTGTAATCCCAGCACTTTGGGAGGCCAAAGCAGGCAGATCACAAGGTCAAGAGATGGAGACCATCCTGGCCAACATGGTGAAACCCCATCTCTACTAAAAATACGAAAATTAGCTAGGTGTGGTGGTGTGCTCCTATAGTCCCCGCTACTTGGGAGGCTGAGGTAGGAGAATTGCTTGAACCTGAGAGGCAGAGGTTGCAGTAAGCTGAGATTGTGCCACTGCACTCTAACCTGGCGACAGAGCAAGACTCCATCTCAAAAAAAAAAAGAAAAAAAAGTAAAGAATTACTCAAGGAGGCAAAGAAGAAGTTGGGAAGCTACCTATTAAGAAAAAAAAAAAAGGACAATGGCAATAACTGGGATCAAATTCCCAAGTTTAGGTTTGTACACAAAAATGAGGCAGTCAGAAACAAAAAAAAGAAAATTTTAAAAAATGAGGCAGTCAGCCAAAGAAGTCAGCATCCAACATTCCTGACTGCAATGCAGTAAACTTTCATGCAGCATGGAGATACAAGAAAATAAAAGATAAGAAGATTGAAAAGATTTTACTACCCCAGCTACTTCCAAAATCCAGGGTCTGTCTCTCTCAGCTAAGCAGAGAGATTCTCCTGGGTTTCTGGTTTGCTTTTTTGTTTGTTTGATTTAGTTTTGGGTTTTGGTGGGTAAAGTCAAGTAGGAATGACTTTAATTCATATATTTTAGGTATTTATGATGTATATTCAAATTAAAGATAAATGAAGGAAGGAGTGAAGAAAAGGGGGAATGAAATAAGGAAGAGAAAGAATAGAAGGAGAGGGGTGAAAGCAGCGCAGGGAGGTTGTCCCTGGGTGTATGGATAAGGCAACTCTCACCAAAGGTCACGCAGATAACACAGGTTAGGGAGAGCTGTGAGGGAGCCATTTCACTACTATTCAAATGAAAACACCTATCCATTCGTCCATTAACTGACGTTACTGACATCAGTCCATTAACCCATTCAGTCACTCATTCAACAAATATTGAATGAACGTGTACTATGTGCCAAGCCTATGAAAGGCAATAAGGATCAGCAATTTTAAAACAGGTAAAATGAGTGTTGGGCACAGTAGTGTACTCCTGTAGTCCCGGCCCAGGAGTTTGAGCTGCAGCAAGCTATGATTGTATCACTGCACTCTAGCCTAGGTGAAAAAGCCAGACCCCCATCTCTAAGAAAAGAAAAAGAAAAATGAAAAGAAAACAGGTAAAATTCTTACACTCATGAAGTTACACTCTAGTGGGGAAAGAGACCATAAAAAAGTAAACAAAATATAATACATGAATATGTCAGCTGGTGATTGATGGTTAATCACAAAGTCAGGCAGAATAAAGAGATGGGTATTTAATTAAATGTATTTATTTATTTATTTTATTTATTTTTGAGACAGGGTCTTGTTCTGTCACCCAGGCTACAGTGCAGTGGCACAATTATAGCTCACTGCGAGCTAATTTTTTTATTTGTTGTAGAGGTGAGGTCTCGCTGTGTTGTCCAGGCTGGTCTTAAACTCTTGGCCTCAAGTGATCCTCCCACCTTGGCTTCCCAAAGTGCTGAGATTACAGGGATGAGCCATCCCACCCAACCAAGGATAGGTATTTTAAACAGGGTAGTCAAAGCAGGTTTCTGTGATGTTTCTATGATGAGATGACATCTGACCAGACACAAAGGAAGTAGGTAGGGAGCCAAGAGGATGTATGAGGTAAGAACATCCCATGCAGACAGAACAGCAGGGCTTCAGGTAGAGAGAAATACATGCAGGCCAGGCACAGTGGCTCACGCCTGTAATCCTAACACTTTGGGAGGCTGAGGTGGGAGGATTGCTTGAGCTCAGGAGTTTGAAACCAGCCTGGTAACATGGTAAGACCTCATCTCTACCAAAAAAATACATACATATACATATAAAATATATGTATGTATTTTTAAAATTAGCCTGGTTTAGTGGCATGTGCCTGTAGTCCCATTCCAGCTACTCAGGAGGCTGAGGTGAGAAGATCAATTGAGCCCGGGAGGTCGAGGCTGCAGTGAACCATGATTGCACCACCGCACTTCAGCCTGGGCCACAGAATGAGACCCGTCTTTAAAAAAACATAAAAAACAAAAGCACACTGGGCATGTATAAGAAACACACAGCAGTCTTGTGTGACTGGAAAGAAGTGAGTGAAAGGCAAAGGATAGGAAATAAATTCACAGGGAGTGGGTGGCCAGGTCACATAGGACCCTGAAGGCTCATACAGATTTCGGAATTAATGAGTGAGATGGGAAGTCGCAGAAAGGTTTTGAGCCAAGGAGCAATATGATCTGACTTACATGATCTGGCTGCTACGTGGAGAATGGACTGGAGGGAGGTAGAAGGAGGAAGGTCATGTGCAAGCTGCTGCAGTAAACCGGGGTGATGAATGCTGAGGGCTTGGGCCAGGCTGGTGGCCTAGGGGGTGGTGAGGAGGAGAGGACTGGGTTGTACCACGCAAAGACTCAGAGGTGCATGGTTCTCACCTGAACAGCCATCTCCTTGGATTTCTGTCTCCGTCAGCCAAAGCTTGTCTTCTCTTCCCAACTGTAGTATCACATCTAGTTTGAAGGGGTGATAGCCTGTGAAAAAGAAATGGCATATATATAAAGTGAATGCATTATAGTCAAAAATTTTAATTCCAACACTACCATTTTCATGCACTCTAAGTAGTATTTTTCAAAATTGTGATCATGAACTGTTATCTGAATACCTTTTAATTTGTGATCCGGTACACAAATACATAAGTGTCAATCACTGAATCAAGTGATCAGATAATCTGATCCTATCCATTGTCTACTTTGATCACATCTTTCCTGTTTCTGCTTACAATTTTTGCTGCACTGAGTGCAGTTCTTGACAAGGAGCTATAATATTTCTACCTCAATTCATTAAACACTATATAACTCACCAACTGATTTCAAAGCCCACCAAGATTTCACAACAGCAATTTGAGAAAAATAGACAAAGTATAGACAAGGTGTATCCCTGGGGAATTAGGAAATTCACATCCCCAAGTTCAGGGAAGCATTTTAAGCATCTCAAAGTCTTAAATAATTGAAAGCAGGACGGTCCAGAGGGCTGACTTTCAGTTACAATTTGAGGTGCTTGTGCTCACCCACTGACAGCAAGTTCCTGAAGTTCTCCAGCATCACATCTTGGTACAGCTTTCTCTGGGCAAGGTCCAGCAACCCCAACTCCTCCCTGGTGAAGACCACAGCCACATCCTTGAATGTCACCATCCCCTACAACATCAAGCAGATGTAATCTCAATCTGATGGCCAATATCTACTGGGAGAGAGGCAGCACTAAGCAGGTAGAAAGAGCAGGCAGGAAAATGTTCTGGATTGTGAAGGCCTCAAATCAACTTTAAGTAGCTTCCTCCTTTTCTCCATCCCACATGCCAGTCTCATAGACTACTTTTCCACAGTCACATCAAAAGTGTATGCTACTAAAAAATAACCCCTGTGTATTTGGTGACATTTGTAAGTATTCCAACAGTAAATGCCCCAGCACTGTAAACCTTGACTCACACGGAATATGTATTTTATAACTTGACTGATACTACGAAATTGTCCTAGAAATGTTGGGTCAATTTAGTACCAACGCCGAAAAAGGTGTTTGCACATGCATGTTTATAGTAGCACAATTTGCAATTGCAAAAATGTGGAACCAACCCAAATGCCCATCAATCAATGAGTAGATAATGAAACTGTGTGGCCAGGCACAGTGGCTCACGCCTGTAATCCCAGCACTTCGGGAGACTGAGGCGGGTGAATCATGAGGTCAGAAGTTCGAGACCAGCCTGGCCAACATGGTGAAACCATCTCTACTAAAAATACAAAAAAGTGGTTGCAAGTGCCTGCAATCCCAGCTACTCGGGAGGCTGAGGCAGGAGAATTGCTTGAACCCGGGAGGCAGAGATTGCAGTGAGCCAGGATCACGCCACTGTACTCCAGTCCAGGCGACAGTACAAGGCTCTGTCTCAAAAAAAAAAAAAGGGAAAAGAAACTGTGGTGTATATATATATGATGGAATAGTACTCAGCCATAAAAAGGAATGAATTAATGGCATTCACAGCAAGCTGGATGATATTGGAGACTATTATTCTATATGAAGTAACTCAGGAATGGAAAACCAAACATCGTATGTTCTCACTCATAAATGGGAGCTAAGCTATGAGGATCCAGAGGTATAAGAATGACACAATGGACTTTAGGGCCTCAGCTGAGGGATAACAGAGGATGCCTCTGGGGAGTAAGGAACTAACTTGAAAGAGACAGGAGGGACCTTTTTGGGGTAATATAAGTGTCCTATATCTTGTTCTGAGTGGTGGGCTAATGCAATTATACAACTGTCAGAGTGGGATATACAACTGTTATTGACCTGACCACTTAAGAGATATGTAATTTTGTAAGTAAATATTGCATTTTTAAAGCCTCATGAAAAAGTATTGCAAATTGAAATAACATTTAGAGACACAATATTGTGTATGTTTGTTCATAGCCTCTGAAAAATTAGACACAAAATGAAAACCCTTCTGAGACAAATACATAAAGAAACCCTAAATCATACAAAACTCCAGTGATAACATTCACTGAAAAAAGAAAATTATATATAGAATGCGACTGTAGTTCTGTAAAATACACTGATGAGTATACATATAAGACATACAATATGTAAATACATATAAAATAGTACGGACGAAATAGATGATTTGTATTGCAGTGTAGTAATGTGGACGTTTTCTCCCATTTTTTGATATCTATGAATTTTTGTACTACTACTTATGAAATAAAGAAGATAAAATAAAACTACCAAAACTAAAAACAAAAGCTAAAGACATAAACAAAAAATTGAACCAATCGACAATCAAGTAACTAGCAGATCCCAAATACCTGTTTTCCTCCTTTATCTTTCTCAAGGAAGAGAAAAAAAAAGTGTCTAATCTTTGAGGGAAAGAGATGTCATTTTAAGAGAGAAAAATCAAAACTCAACTCACCTGAAACTTGGTCATTTTCTCCTGCTCCTTCTAGGGAAGGGCAGGGTCCTGCGAAGGCAGAACTGGGAAAAGAAAGAAGCCATAAGAAATAGGCCATAGCCCACGTGGCCGTCCTGGGTGAATTTTTAAAAGGTGGCTGGGCATGGTGGCTCACACCTGTAATCCCAGCACTTTGGGAGGCCGAGGCAGGCAGATTGCTTGACCTCAGGAGTTCGAGACTAGCCTGGGCAACATGACGAAACCCCATCTCTACAAAAAAATACAAAAATTAGCCGGGTGTGGTGGCACACACCTGTAATCCCAGTTACTCTGGAGGCTGAAGTGGGAGGATGGCTTGAGCCTGGAAGGTGGAGGTTGCAGTGAGCCAAGATGGTGCCACTGAGCTCCAGCCTAGGCAATACAGCCAAACTTTGTCTCAAAAAAAAAAAAAAAGTGACCCTTTCTTCAGCACATATCACTAGCCTCTCAGCCAGGGGCCCTTCTGCAGTGAACAACCTGCCCAGTTCTAAGTAGCAAGCCTAACATAAGAGCCCTTTGTAGTTTCCAGGGTTATCATTCTCATACCAGATACTGTGGGAAATGAAAGGCAGCAGAATGTACTTGCTACAAAAGTGGATTCTGGGGTCACAAGGTCTGGGGTCAAATCCTGGCTTGGCTACTAACTCTTTAAGCTCATTAACCTCCCCATTCCTCAAATCTATCACCTGCAAATGAGAAAAATAGTGCTTTCTTGCAAGATTATTATAAGGGTCAAATGTGTGAACAGATGGAAACTCTTATAAATGATTTCCCTGCAGTTGCACAAAAGCAGATGATATTATGCATCATAAAATTGTTACAAATGTCTTTTGCCATCATTTCCAACAAAAGAGTCTTTTATAACATCCAGATTTCAAAGACTGTACAATGCTTTATCTTATGAAATTCACCTTTACCTCTGAAAAGTCTATAATTCTGATTGGCTACATTACTTACTACTTTGTTGTCCTGTAATATTTAATTGATATCAGTGTTCAGTTTTATAAAAGGTATAAATATTTATGAATTTTCTTCATGTAGACAGGAGAGTCTTAGTGGTGTATCTCCCTTTCCCATGCTCACTGTCGTAAGGAAATACTAATTTAAAATGTGTCTCTGCGATTCTTTTTTCTAATTTTGAATGAAAGTTTGACAGTATGTGTCTCACTTAAGTGAAAAATACTGTAGTACTAATAATAGATCCTAATCTACAGAGTTGCTTTTGGGATTAAGTGAGCAAATCAAATAGTCTTGGCTAGGATAATCCATAGAGACAAAAAGTAAATTAACAGTTGCCAGAGGCTGAGAGAGGAGATAGTAAAGAATGATGGCTAGGGAATAGGAGGTTTCTTTTGGGGGTGATACAGATGTTCTTGAATTAGAAAATAGTGATGGTTGTACAACCTAACATTGTGAATACACTAAATGCCACCAAATTGTACACTTTAAAAGGGTGAATTATATGGTATATGAATTATGACTCAATTTTTAAAATAGTGGGGAAAAGCCTTGATTCAGTGTCTGGCACATTATATAAGCTCTCAGTAAGTGATGACATGATGACTGTTGTTCCCATTTAGTGGATGAGGAAGCTGAGGATTACTGAGATTAAGTTACCCAAGGTCACAGAGCTGGTGAGGTGAGACTGCATCTAAATCCAGCTGAGTCTGGAGCCTGTCTCTTAATCGTGTCTCCTTCTCTAATCAGAAATATGAAGACATGGAAGGAGTCATGTCTTAGAGATCAGAGAAAGGGGAGTTGGAGGGTGTGAACTGCTGAAAATGATCTGCTGAGAGATACTGGAGCCAGATGATGAGGAACCTAATATCCTAATTGACTCTTCTGACGTACTAGCTCTTTGTGCGTGTTTCCTTGCCCATAAAGTGAGGACAACAACAGCATCTACTTCGTAGGGTTATTAAGAGGTTTCAGTGAGTATATACAAGATAGCGTTCAATACAGATAGCTACTCCCGTTCACGGGTCCTCCTACTTCATGCAGAAACACTCTAGTAGGGAAAAGAGCAATGTATTCTCTTCTCAAAGCTAGGGAGAGATCAATTCTTAACATCCAATTCCCTTTGTTCTGGTCCTATATTTCCCTGCACCCTCCTGCTCTGCTCAGTAACAGGATTTTGCAAGACTTGACATTTCACAACATTTAGTAGAAAAAAGCAAATGGGGTCTGGAGTGCCTGGCTCAGCTCTGCTCACTATATGTACCAGGGCCGCTTTTCTAGGCCTGAATTTCCAGACTTTGTTCATTCCTAGGTTGTCAAGTCCTCTCGTGCCTTTGCTCCTGCCACTCTGTCTCCAGAGAGGACCAGCTTCCCTGTCTTTCTCTGTAATCCCTCCTCTTGGAAGCATTCTGAGTAGCTGGGACATTTGGGGTATAATTAGTAAATCAAGCATCTGTTTTGCCTGTGAGATAATGAACAATTACTCATCTTTTTATCCCAAGCACCTAGAGTATTGTGAGTATTTGATGCACACGGAATCAGAGAATGACACACAGACAAGGATTGTACTAATTGATCGCCAAGATTCTCTTGAGCTACAAAATTCTGAGGCTATTCCTAATTGGGAGGAGGAGAAGATGAACTTTATCTGTCAATTTCTTCTTGCTTTTTAATTTCATTTGCTTTGCTCAATTAACATCAAGGTCATCCTTCAAAGTGAAATCATTAAGCCGGGCGCAGTGGCTCACGCCTGTAATCCCAGCACTTTAGGAGGTTGAGGTGGGTGGATCACTTGAGGTCAGGAGTTCGAGACCAGCCTGGCCAACATGGTGAAACCCTGTCTCTCCTAAAAATATAAAAATTAGCTGGGCGTGATGGCGGGTGCCTGTAATCCCAGCTACTCGGGAGGCTGAGGCAGGAGAATGGCGTGAACCCAGGAGGCGGGGCTTGCAGTGAGCTGAGATCCGGCCACTGCACTCCAGCCTGGGAGACAGAGGGAGACTCAACCTCAAAAAAAAAAAAAAAAAAAAAAAGTGAAATCGTTCATAAAAGGGTCATAGATTGTGGATAATGTAAACCCTATCTATTTATTTTAATAGCAGTGTCAGGTATTTACTCAAATGTCATCTCCTCAGAGTTCTTCCCTGCAAATCCTTTAAAAATTTTTTCTTTGATTATTACTCTTGAGCATCTCCCAGTCATTGCCTAAGCTGTGAAACCATTTCTTTTCCTCTTTTTATTTTTATTTTTAATTTTTTTGATACACACTTTCATTCTCTTTTCCAGGCTGGAGTGCAGTGGCATGATCTCAGCTCACTGCAACTTCTGCCTCCTGGGCTTAAGCGATCCTCCTACCTCAGCCTCCCGAGTAGCTGGGACCACAGGTGTGCGCCACCACATCCAGCTAATTTTTTAATTTTTTTTGTAGAGATGGGGTCTCACTATGTTGCCCAGGCTGGTGTTGAACTCCTGGGCTCAAGCCACCCTCCCGCCTCAGCCTTCCAAAGTGTTGGGATTACAGGCATGAGCCACTGCACCCCCATGGGACTGACATTTCTCAGGGCTGAAGGAGAGTGTGGCACAAAGGTCAAGAACCCACTCTGCCTGAGCTGAAACTCCCAGTTCAGGCGCTTTCCTGTTGTTTTACTTTGGGAAGATAAATATTTTACCCATCAGTGTTGTCATCTGTAAAATAGGAATGATAATATTATCATTGTTATGAAGATTAAGCTAACTAATGCATGTAAAGCCTATAGAAGAGACCCTGGCACTCATTGTATTAACAATTATTACTCATTCATGAACACATGCCTAATCCAACCTCCCGTTTATTCCATAAATATTTGAGCTTTTGCCCAGCAGGAAAAATAATATTGCTAATGAGTGAAGGAAATCTGTTCTCCAACTGAGCAGAAATAGCAATAGCATGTATTAAGTCCTCTCACGTTGGGACAATGTTACAAAGAGTCAGGGGGTCGACACCCTCCTCTCTGCAGCCCTCCGGTTAGTCAGGGCTGAGGAAAGAAAGGGGGTTGGAAGATATCCAAACTGTGTTTCTGGTCCAGGATGAATGACAGTGGACATCCCCAGGCACCACATGGAGGTGAGACACTTATGCCTTAAAGGGGAAGGAAAAATAAAAAAGATGGAGAGAAAATTGACGCCCCCCTCCCCCTGTTAGGAAGCCAGGAACAGCCCCGCGAAGTGCAAGGATCAGAGAAGGGTGAGTGGCGCTGCACCTGGAGCTCAGAACCCACCGCGGGCTCACAGAAACTTTCAGAGACTGAACGCCTCTCCTCTCCGGGAAGAAATAAGAGATTGGCAACAACCAGCCACCTTTTCAGTGTGTGCCAGGATCGGTCCTAAGCATTTTTACATCTATCTTACGTAAATCTCACGAAACTCCTACCAGATAGGTACTACTATGAAATTCACTTTACAGAGGAGAAACGGAGAAATTATATGCCAAGATTATATTGCCAGAAGGCGGCAGAGCGTGTGGAAGGTGGGGAAAACCAGGGAACTTGAGCGCCCAGGACACCCTCAAACCAGACGTGCGACCAGGAGCCATTCCCAAATTGGAGACCCATGCACCGCCCTAAAAACAAAGAGCAAGCAAAACATCGACCCCGCCCTCTGTGGCTTCTCTTTACTGAGGGCGAAGGCAGGCACCTGCGAGTCCCACGCCCAGGCCAGGAAAGCTCGCTGTAGATGCAGAAGTTCCGCGCTGACTCACCTCCCAGAGGGGATTGATGACGGCTGCCTCGCCCTCCTGCAGCGGAAGTGCACAAGGTTGCAACGACTCCTGCACTACACTTCCCAGAATGCCCGAGCGGAAACAGGCTACTGTCCCGCCCCGCCAAACGGAAGTAGTCTTAGCTACCTGGTTCTCACGCACTACGCTTCCTAAAATCTTCCGCAAGGCAGACCTTGCCACTTTAAATAATTTATTTATTTTTAAATATGTAAGTGGATTCAGTTAACTGTTCTCAGGGGCTATTAGCGCTTGACCTTTATTTTTCTGTTCCTTCCCTGTTCTGTTTTCTTTGTTTCCTTTCTAAAGTGACACTACAACTAAGTGTGACTGGAAAGTTAAATGTGGCTGTTTCAAAGAGTGGAGAGGCAAAAAAAAAAAAAGAAAAAAGAAAATTAAAAAATGAAGTAAATGTGGCTGTATAGAGAGAAAGGTGAACAGAGAATCTCAAACTCTTTTTTATCTTATTGCATTCTTTTCATGTGCCTGGATATATCTAGACAATGATATCTATCATGAGCGATTCAAAGATGTTAAAGACTCACAAGAAGGAAAAGTAACCTTTGATCGGGTCACAGAACAACAAAATTTTCTCATTTTTGTTGGGTTTAATTGATCACTTTGAAATACAGGGATTTTTTGGCAAATGAAAGGAGCTGGCAGGGAAGTGAAGGAAATATGCTAACAGTGAACTATCTAAAATAAGAAATCAAGAAACTATTCCATTTACAAACACTACAAAAAAATTATACCTAGGACTACACTTAACCAAGGCAGTGAAAGAACTCCAGGTTGATAACTATAAAACACTGATGAAAGAAATTGAAGACGACACAGAAAAATGGAAAGATATTCCATATTTATTGATTGGAAGAATTAGTGCAGTCAACCCTTGAACAACTCTGGGATTGGGACAGTCACCCCCATCACACAGTTAAAAATGCATCTATAGGCTGGTTTGGGTGCAGTAGTGTTACAACTGGTGATCACAACCAGTTCCAGATTTCTTTGTTCCTTCTTCACTCCAACTGCTTCACTTAACTAACCTTAAAAAAAAAAAAAAAAAAAAAAGTTAAAAAGAATGCACGTAAAACTTTTGACTCTCAAAAAAACAGCTAATAGTCTACTATTAAACAGAATCCTTATAGATAACATAAACAATTAAAACATATTTTGTATGTTCCATGTATTATATACTGTATTCTTACAATGAAATAAGCTAGAGAAAAGAAAATGTTACTAAGAAAATCAAGAGGAGCCAGGTGCAGTGGCTCATGCCTGTAATCCTAGCATTTTGGGTGGCCAAGGAGGGGCAGATCACGAGGTCAGCAGTTTGAGACCAGCCTGGCCAACATGGTGAAACCCCATCTCTACTAAAAATACAAAAATCACCTGGGCTTGGTGGCATATGCCTGTAATCCCAGCTACTCCAGAGGCTGAGGCAGGAGAATTGCTTGAACCCGGGAGGCAGAGGTTGCAGTGAGCTAATATTGTGCCACTGCACTCCAGCCTGAGCGACAGAGCGAGACTCTATCTAAAAATAAAAAAAGAAGAAGAAAAAGAAAATCAAGAGAAAGAGAAAGTACATTTACAGTACTGTACTGTATTGATACTGTAAGTTTACACCATCTGTTTAAGAAACTGTCTTTCTGAAATCAGGCAACTGCAGCTTCCGACCTCAATTTACAGTACATATCAAGCAATCCAACTTTTATAATGTCATGACTTTTCTATGCATCTTAGGAGCACTTCCAACATCACTAGTGGCAGTTCACATAGGTCCCATGGTATTATTCAAGATTTATGGTATTGCACTAAACATAATAAGAAATAAGAGGAAACCATGAGATCACTTTTTACTGTAATATACAATTTACTGGAGAGATGAACTGCTCATTTTGAGATGATTAGCATCACTTGGAATTTTAAGCAGATATTCACACACATGAGCTCACCACAATAGTGACAGCAGATAGCTATTAAATTATTACAGTAGTGCAGCATGTACTACAGTTAACTTTATGCAGTTTTGATTTAATATTGCATCTTTGTTTTACATTTCTCTTCACTGTGAATGTACAGTCTGTGTTTGTGTGTGTAAGTTTTGATAAGTTTTACCTTTTTATAATAAATTCATATATATTTTATGGTAGTAAGTGATAAAATAGACTAATATCTACATATATTTTATGCATTCATGATATACCTAAATTTTTCTTAATTGTTTGATATTTCTAGGCTACATGGCTTATCTGTGAGCTTTTTCACATGTAAGTGGACCCGTGCAGTTTAAAACTGTGTTGTTCAAGGGCCAACTGTATTGTAATTTGCAAAAAAAACACCTAAATTATATCTGGAAAATGCTTCTTCTCTTATTTCAACTTATTTTTTTTAATATCCACTCAGCTTGCTCTTGAGATGATAAATACAATAGAATGATCATCAACAGATCAAGTCAATGTGGAATCCAAAACGAAGTAATATCTAACAGCCTTGTAAAAGCACATGTATCAAGACTTCTTGCAGAGACTTTCTTTCCAATGTGGTTTTCTCTAGAAAGGAGAAAGTTGTTCTGTTTTATTTAAGTTATAGGGGGTGGGTATTGTGTATAGGATGGGTAGGAAACTGTCTTCGATATTTTCTACTACAATTTTTTTAGTTCAGTCAGCAGAATTTTGTTATTATTTTAGTACCAAAGGAATTCTGAATCATGTTTTGTTTTCATCTCAAAGTATTTTCTAACGTCCTTGTAACTTCTATCCCCATTGGTTTTTATGAGTGTGCTGTTTAATTTCCACACATTTGTGAATTTTCCAGTTTTTCTCATTACTGATTTCCCCATTTCATTTTTTTGTGACCTGAGAACATTTCATATGACTTTATCTTTCTGTTGATATGTGATTTTTTAAATTTTTTTTTTTTTTTTTTTGAGACAGAGTCTTGCTCTGTCGCCCAGGCTGGAGTGCAGTGGCGCGATCTCGGCTCACTGCAAGCTCCGCCTCCCAGGTTCACGCCATTCTCCTGCCTCAGCCTCCTTATTGAGACCTGTTTTGTGCCATAATGTATGATCTATCCCAGAAAATGTTTCATGACCACTTGAGAAAAATGTATATTCTGCTGATTTTAGGTGGGGTGCTTTGTATATATCTGCTAGGAGTTTGGTTTATGTCTTTCCAAGTCCTCTAATTCTTTATTGATCTTTTGTCTGGTTGTTCTATCCATTATTGAAAGTGGTACACTGAAGTCTGAAAACATTGTAGAAATATCCATTTCTCCCTTCAGTTCCATAAATTTTCACATCATATATTTGGGGACTAGCTGTGTAATATCTGTACCGTTATATCTTCTTGATGCATTGATTCTTTTGTCAATATATAATATCATTGTTTGTCTCTCGTCAAGTTTTTACCTAAAGTCTATTTTGTCTAATATTAATACAGTCACCTCAGTTCTCTTTTTTTACATCCTGCATGGAATAATTTTTTTCCATTTTTTCACTCAACATTATTTTTGTCTTTGGATCGCAAATAAGTCTCTTATAGACAGCATATAGTTGGATCATGCTGTTTTATCCATTCTGCCAACTTTTGCCTTTTAACTGGAGAGCTTAATTATTTGCATTTAAATTAATTCCTGATTTAGAAAAGGCCTTGCTCTTTCACTTTGTGATGTGTTTTCTACATGGCTTATCTTTTTTGTTCCTAGGTCTCTCGATTAATGCCTTCTTTTCTGTTTGACGTTTTTGTAGCATACCTGTTTTGTTTTTGTTTCCATTTTGAGACAGGGTCTCACTGTCACCCAAGCTGGAGGGCAGTGGTGTGATCTCAGCTCACTGCAACTTCTGCCTCCTGAGTTCAAGTGATTCTCATGCCTCAGCCTCCCAAATAGTTGGGACTACACGCATGCACCACCATGCCCAGTTAATTTTTGTATTTTTAGTAAAGATGGGGTTTCACCATGTTGGGCAGGCTGGTCTCAAACTCCTGACCTAAAGTGATCCACCCACCTTGGCCCTCCCAAAATGCTGGGATTACAGGCATAAATCACATGCCTGATCTGTAGTGTACCATTTAAATTTTCTTCTTATTCCCTTTTCTGCATATTTTATTTTCTTAGTGATTAACCTTGGAATACAATTAACATCTTTTTTCTTTTTTGAAATGAGGTCTCATTCTGTCACCCAGGCTGTAGTGCAATGGTGTGATCTTGACTCACTGCAGCCTCAAACTCCTGGGCTCAAGTGGTCCTCCAGCCTCACACTCCTGCATAGGTAAGACTACAGAAATGTGCCATCACACCCAGCTAATTAAAAAAAAAAATTGTAGAGACAGGGTCTCTCTATGTTTCCCAGGCTGTTCTCAAACTCCTAGCCTCAAGCAATCCTCCTGCCTTACCCTTCCAAAGTGCTGGGATAACAGATGTGAGCCACCACAGCTGGCCTATGTTTCCAAATACTACTGTGAAAAAATTTAAAGATGCAAAAGTGTGGAATAGTATTAATTCAAACTATATTATAATATATTAAAGAAGTTAATATAGTCTGAATTAATACTAACCTAGCTTCTACAGTATAAAATATCCTGCCCCCATATATCTGTCCTTCTCCCTTTAGGATTTGAAAAAATTACATCTTTATACATTGTGTGCCCCATTAACATAGATTTATAATTATTGTACTCATTTTTCTTTAAATCATATAGGAGTTATGAGCCAATAATACAATAATATTGGCTTTTGTGTTTGCCTATGTAGTTACTTTACCAGTGTTCTTTATTCGTTTACATGGCTTCAGGATACTATTTACTGTCTTTTCACTTCTGCTTGAAGTATTTTGTATTTCTTGTAGGGCAGGCCAACTAGCAATGAACTCCCTTAGTGTTTGTTTATCTAGGAATATCTTAATTTCTTCTTAATTTTTGAAGGATAGTTTTGCCAGATATAGGATTCTTGGCTAACAGGTTTTTTTTTTTTTTTTAATTATTTCGTTACTTTAAATATGTCATCATAGTGGCTTCTGGAGATCATGATTTCTGATAAAAAGTGGGTTATTAATCTTTTATAGAGCCTTTGTACATGAGGAGTCACTTCCTTTTGCTGATTTTGAGCCTCTCTTTGTCTTTTTATGGTTTGATTATGATTATAATGTGTCTTGGTATGGATCTCTATGCATTTATTCCTCTTGGAGTTCCTTGAGCTTCTTATATGTGTAGACTCACGTTTTTTGTTTTTTTTTTTTTTTTTTTTTTGAGACAGAGTCTCGCTCTGTGGCCCAGTCTGGAGTGCAGTGGCCAGATCTCAGCTCACTGCAAGCTCCGCCTCCTGGGTTCACGTCATTCTCCTGCCTCAGCCTCCCGAGTAGCTGGGACTACAGGCGCCCGCCACCTCGCCCGGCTAGTTTTTTGTATTTTTTAGTAGAGACGGGATTTCACCATGTCAGCCAGGATGGTCTCGATCTCCTGACCTCGTGATCCGCCTGTCTCGGCCTCCCAAAGTGCTGGGATTACAGGCTTGAGCCACCGCGCCCGGCCAGACTCACGTTTTTATAAGTTTGAGAAGTGTTTGAACATTATTTCTTCAAATATTCCTTATACTCCTTTCTCTCTCCTCTCTTATCGTGACTCCCATCGTGCATATGTTGATATGCTTGATGGCATCCCACAGATATCTTAGTTCTACTTATTTTTCCTTCTGCTCCTCAGATGGAATAACTTCAATTTACTTATCTTAGTTCACTGGTTTTTGTGCTTGCTTAAATATGCTGTTGAAATCCTCTAGTGAATTTTCATTTCAGTTATTGTACTCTTCAGGTCCAAAATTCATGGTTTTTAAATAATTTCTACCTATTCAGTATCTTATTTTCAGACATCATTCTCCTGGTTTTATTATTATTTTTGTTCATGGTTTCCTGTTGCTCTTTGAGAACATTTAAGACAGTTTATTTAAAGTCTTTGTCTAGTCCAGTGTCTTATGTTTCCTTGGGGACAGTTTCTGTTCATTTATTCTGGGAATGGACCATAATTTTTTATTTGCATGCTCTGTGTGTATG